GAAATTTAATATCGGTTCGTGAAATTTTACTTTTTTTTGTGACATTCGGCCGTACCTCAGTGGAGTACCTTTAAAGTAAAATCCTATAAGGAATGAAGAAGTTGGAGTGAAATACCAATTTCTCGAAAAAAATCTAAGTTCAAAGGGACATAATTCTGGAAATAGTCTTGCTAGAGTATTTAACCTTCTCAAAAATGTCGAGTGATAATAAGAAACATATATATGAAGTTTGAAGTAGATACATTAGGAAATAAAGAAGTTATTTAAAAAAGACAACATTTTTTCCCCTAAAAAATCTAAGTTCAAGGGAGGTAATACTGATAATTTTTTGTGCCAGAGTTATAAACCTTGTCACATATGATGTGGTTGATGACCAGAAACTTATATTTAAAGTTTGAAGTAAACACCTTAAGAATAAAGAACATATAGTGAAAAAGCTGAAAAAATTTAAATCAGAAATCTTGAAATTCAGGCTATTTGTTGCCATAGCAACCAGAATTTTTAACATAGGAAGAAAAGAAAAAGATGTGCATAATCCCCAGACTGCCATCTACGCATATATCAAGTTTCATAAAAGTATTTTCAGTACTTTTTGAGTTATCACTGGATCCAGTTTATGTGTTAAATTTGCCATATTTTCAGACTATTTTGTTCCATAGCAACCAGAATTTTCAACATAGGAAGAAAAAAAAAAAGACGTGCATAATCTCCATACTGCCATCTATCCATATATCAAGTTTCATAAAAATATTTTCAGTACTTTTGCGTTATCGCGGGATCCAGTTTTTGTGGACGGACGGACTGACGGACTGACAGACAGACAGACAGACGGACAGACAGGGACAGACGGACAGACAGACAGACGGACAGACGGACGGAGGGTAAACCTAAAGTCCCCTCCGGTTAAACCGGTAGGGACTAACTAGAGTGTTAACAAGATTTTTCTATTTTTAGCTCCGGTGACCTAGTTCCACATGCGATTTCGAACTCATCCAAGCAATTACCTATACAAGCATCCTGACCAAGTTTGATGATAAATTGAGTCGAAAATGTGACCACTAGAATGGTTAACAAGGTTTTTCCATATTTGGGCGGTGTGACCTAGTTTTTTTTCATCCAAGATGACCAATGTTCGAACTTGACTTAGAAATCATCAAAACAAACTTTCAGACCAATTAACAGAATATTTGGATCACAAGAGTAGCCACTAGAGTGTTAACAAGATTTTTCTATTTTTAGCTCCGGTGACCTACTTTTTCATCCGAGATGACCCATGTTCAATTTCTTCCCAGCAATGACCTAGACAAGTTTCCTGACCAAGTTTTGATGACAATTGAGTCAAAATTGTGACCACTAGAGTGTTAACAAGGTTTTTCTATTTTTAGCTCCTGTGACCTAGTTTTTCATCCGAGATGACCCATGTTCGAACTCATCCGAGCTATCACCTATACAAGCATCTTGATCAAGTTTGATGATGATTGATGCAAAAATGTGACCACTAGAGTGTTAACAAGGTTTTTCTATTTTTTAGCTCCGGTGACCTACTTTTTTCATCCGAGATGACCCATGTTCACACTCATCCGAGCTATCAACTAGATAAGCATCCTGACCAAGTTTGATGATGATTGATGCAAAAATGTGACCGCTAGAGTGTTTACAAGGTTTTTCTATTTTTAGCTCCGGTGACCTACTTTTTCATCCGAGATGACCCATGTTCGAACTCATCCGAGCTATCACCTAGACAAGCATCTTGACCAAGTTTGATGATGATTGATGCAAAAATGTGACCGCTAGAGTGTTAACAAGGTTTTTCTATTTTTAGCTCCGGTGACCTACTTTTTTCATCCGAGATGACCCATGTTCGAACTCATCCAACCTATCAACTAGATAAGCATCCTGACCAAGTTTGATGATGATTGATGCAAAAATGTGACCGCTAGAGTGTTAACAAGGTTTTTCTATTTTAGCTCCGGTGACCTACTTTTTCATCCGAGATGACCCATGTTCGAACTCATCCGAGCTATCACCTAGACAAGCATCTTGACCAAGTTTGATGATGATTGATGCAAAAATGTGACCGCTAGAGTGTTAACAAGGTTTTTCTATTTTTAGCTCCGGTGACCTACTTTTTCATCCGAGATGACCCATGTTCGAACTCATCCCAGCTATCACCTAGACAAACATCCTGACCAAGTTTGATGATGATTGAGGCAAAAATGTGACCTCTAGAGTGTTAACAAGGTTTTTCTATTTTTAGCTCTTGTGACCTAGTTTCTCATCCGAGATGACCCATGTTCGAACTCATCCGAGCTATAAACTAGATAAGCATCCTGACCAAGTTTGATGATGATTGAGGCAAAAATGTGACCGCTAGAGTGTTAACAACTAAATGTGAACGGACGACGGACGGACGACGGACGACGGACAATCATCGATCCTAAAAGCTCACCCTGAGCATGCTCAGGTGAGCTAAAAATATGTTTATTTCTTTGGCTTAATAATGTGCCAGTTTACATACCTTCTGCTGCTTGAAAAACTCTTCAAAAGATCCTTGAAACTGAAATCAGATTACAATTATTTGATTCTTTACTTAAACATACTTGATTGTTCTAGTTTACAATTGACTTTATACAACTTTTTATTGAATTGTATAATTGGTACATGTAGGTTGAAACTTATTGGAAATATAATTATTCAGTTTGGAGGCACCTTCTTGGTAAGAATACTGAATAAGGATCACAAGTTAGAGGCATACCCCAAGTATCAGTAATTGTGACCGAAGTGGCCCAATAATAATACATTGTACATAGTATGAATGATGTTATTTGAGATATTCAAAACAACAGCATACTGATATTGTTAAAAAACCTAAATGTATAGCATACACCCCTAGAAAAATCGTTCATCATGATTTACCAGTCAAATCAGTCCATCAATGCTTTAAATCTGAATTGTTTCAAATGAGCTACCTTCCAATAAAATTATTTGTCCATGCGTATCTGATAACAAATTTTGATTATCTTTTTTAATCTAATTTGTATCACACAATGTCAACAGCCTTGCAGGTCAGATCAAGCCCACAGATTGATCAGTTATTATCAGCTGTCAATGAAAAAAAAACTTTTAATTAAGAAATAATATATCCAAAACTGTGATTTTTATTGCTCATAACATCACTGTTTGGAGTTCAGATGCGGGGAATTATATCACATAAAAGTGATATAATGATGCGCATCTGAACGACAAACAGTGATGTAATCAAGCAATAAAATCACCGATTTGGATATATTATTTCGATTCTAACACGACATCAACAAATAAATGCTGCCCGTTTTGTGTCCGTTCTTATTGTTCAGCGCGCCACATTTTTAGTGGTTACGTCACGTTAAGTGGGAACAATAATGTTATTGTCAACGATTCTAGTGATGTCATTTAGCTGCAAATTGATATTAGCCTGGAACCCCGTTGTATCGATCTATTTACACATAAATCACAACTGCAGTTATAAAAATTAAATCATCCTGAATCTTTATTTTGTTTAATTTATTTTGATCCTTTTGTCATGTACTCAACATCACTAATTCCGCGTCATCACTTATTTCACGGTAATGGCATATTTTCATGTTACCAGTGTTAAATTTGGTCAGAAATGACATATTTTCATTCAAACACCTAAACAACAAAGTTTTTTGTACAATATATTTTAAATCTTTAGATTTTGATGTAAAACAGAACAAGATTTTACAAATTTCTGTAAAAAGCAACAATAGTCCGTTAAAATTTGTGCATACGTCTGAAACATATACGTCTGAAACAATCATCATTTTCTAAATGTTCTTGTTTGTTGAAAAAATAATTTTTGAGTTACAATGTTACAAATAGTTTTAATATTTAAAATTAAGCAAAATAGCATGTAGAAATTTTAACTGAAACATGAAAAAAATGAAATAAAACACCATTACCGCCATTTATATGATGACAAAATTGTTTTCAAAATGGCTGACATATGGTCTACGTCTTGCCATTTAAACTGATTTTGGCTGAATATATTGTTGTTTTCTTGTGTCATACAGCAGAAAATACCACTATGTTACAGCTTATGACAATTTTTGTACCATTAGTAATTATGTTTCATGTGTTGCTCTTTCTTGTTTCAAAGCATTAAGTACCATGAACTAAGAGAAGCACAGTATAATATTTACATGGCAAAACATCACTGATATATAGCTTTTAGCTTTGGAATATACAGATATTTTACAGACATGTCAAAAACGTTGAAGAATTAGGTCACGCCATTGTGTGAATCGCTCAATTAGTCAAAGTTTGGGAAGCCTGAACCTCTTTATGTTAGATTTTTTCACTTAATAACAAACAAAGATGTCTGTTTTAAAATGTCAGCATTAATTTGGGAACATTTATTAGACAGTAAATGTACTTTTGATAAGAACACACTATTATATGTCTATTTATTATCTACAATGTCTTGCGGGCACTGGAAACACATTTTTGACCATTTTTAAGGCACAAAAAACGAATGTGAAAGATTTTCGTGACAGTGTTGTTAATGTTAACAATCAGTAGGTGGGGCATTTTGCAAGAAATCAAAAGATTTGTAAAAAAAGATCGATACAATGAGGCCATCCTTAAAAAAATGTTTGTTTGCAGTAACGCGAACCTACTCACAAAATTTGCCCCTACTCAAAAGGTTTTTTTCATGGTCTGGATAAAAAAAAAAATTTTTTAATCAGAAAATTATGCCTTGTGCTTTGTTTTTGTTCTTTTAAAGGTTAATAGAAGAAATAAAATGTATGTATTATTTAATTAGAATTCATTTATCAATTTATCAATTGTTACCAGATTATCAAAGCATAAATTGTCCAGCATTTTGAAATTCCATGTTTATTTGGGAGTGCAGTTCAATAATAATAATAAAAAAAAAAAAAAAAAAAAAATTGACCTACCTACCCACCTTGAAAATTCTGGGTCGGGTTACTGCAAACAAACATTTTTTTAAGGATGGCCTGAATAGCACGATACAATGTAGTCCAATAAATAAGACGTCATAGGCTTGTTATAGTTTTATGTCGGTCAAGTCTGACGTCTAATAGTTTTTGCTCAAAAACACATAGCATTATAAAAAACTCAAAAATTGTCTATTGTCTTGCCTTTCAAGCTTGATTCAAAAGTTTTTCTTCTTTTCTTTCAATTTCATGCTCAATCATAGACCAAACTTTCAAAAATGTATTTATCAATTGAAAATAAAATATAAACATCAATGTCTTTTAGTCTATTGTCAGGCAAATTCCGCAATTGTTGTGAATCAGTTTAACGCTTGCATTTTGCTGTGCAATTAAAAATACATAAAAGTAATCAAAATATACCAATAACCTATTATAACAATGTGATATAAACTCACCTGCGGCTTCAAAATATTTCCCCGTTGAAATTTCTATAAAACACCGCCATCTTGACAAATATAAACAACCGTCATCTGATTGGTCGTTTTTTTTCCGAAATTTACGGGTATATTTTCGGGAAATAAATCGACCAATCAGATGACGGTTGTTTACATTCGTCAAGATGTCGGTGTTTTATAGAATTTTCAACGGGAAAATATTTTGAAGCCGCAGGTGAGTTTATATCACATTGTAATTATAGGTTATTGGTATAATTTGATTACTTTTATGTATTTTTAATTGCCAAGCATGATAAATGCTTGTGATATTATCTCCAACGATTGCAACAGTCGTGTAACTTTGTGTTTCCTGCGTAGCCACGATCGATGTCGACCTCGCAAAAATGAACAGTTTTTTGTTACTTTGAAGGCCAGTACTCGTCAAGTATAGGAGATATAAGAAAAATTTTACATTGGTTCGATAGATAAATCATTCGACTACAAATTGCATAATTCCTTTTTATAAATGCTGTATCGTGTAAAAAACTGCGAGGCAAAAACCCTTATTGGGCATAGACACCTTCTTATGGGGGTTGTTACCCTAGTCTATATATTAGTATATAGTGTAATGGGAATGGACTAAGAATTCATTTCTGACTTAGGATAAATGTTTTCTACCATAAACAGTCGGGCATACTTCCTGATCGGGAAACAAGGGGATTTCCCCTCAATGTTTCCCGATCAGGCAACAAACGTCAAAATCTTTCCCGATCGGGAAGTTTTTTAGGCCTTTTTTATGTAGTATAAGAAAAATGGCCGCTGCATAACAATTTTCAATCCACTTCAATATGAATATTACATTTTAGTTCAGAAAAGATACATCTAAAATCCTACCGAGTCATTTTCTTTTTAAATGTTTACAATTTAAATAATCTGAAAGTGAACTTAAGTAAAGTTTTTAGATTTTACCAAAAACTAGCCACTTCCCGTTTTGGGAACATTGCTTCCTGATCAGGCATCTAGCCAAAATATTCATCATTAAAAGTTTAAGATACATTGCTTCCCAATCTGGAAGTACCTTATATTTATTGTAGTACCTGGCCTTGATGATTAGAAATTGCCAAGCCTGGTCAGTTTTTAAAGACATGTGGAACATACTTCAATCACGACGAGTAGAATATATCTGGCGAAACTTATGTTCTTGTTAGGCGTAATAATACCTATCAAAACATTAGCTATACTTGACGGACAGTTCAAAAATCATCATTACAATACAAAAGTTTCATACTGTTAAGATTGTAAAGCACATGTTGAACAACATTGCATAGAGTGTAATTTCTCAAAACAATTACCATGCAGCTCAAATAATTCAAATGTTGACTAGAGCTCACTTAAATAGTTTTTTTGGCTATAGCTCAAGACGTGTTTGCATACTACATGTGTTTGTAGTGACTGTGTCATATTTCTGAAACTTAAGTGTATAAAGCAATATCTGATGCAAAAATTATTGTTAACATTTTTAAAAAGTATACTTCCAAAATGATTGTATGAAATAAATATGATAATTTATTGCCTTAAACGCGAATGGCGCAAGAACAAAATCATTGCTAAACGGATAAAACCCTACTTAATATAGCAAAACAGTATTGTGTTCCTGTTTACTTACAAGATTCATTTGTATTTAATAACAGTGATATTCTATGTTACATTACTTTTTCAGGAGTCAACCATATTATGATATAATAATGGAACCAGCATAATTTTGCTGTTAATAAATATTTAAATATTTCGTAAGATATAGAACATACCCTTTAAGCCACTTTAATTTTAAAAAATGAATAAAATATAAGATAAAATAAATAAATAAAACAAGAAATATCATAATGACATATATGCCCCCCCCCCCTTCTAGCTGAAATTGAATGAAATCTATCATTATTAAGTTGAACAAAATGGAGAGTAGCTGGAATAAATGTTATACTATCATGTACATGTAACTTTGAGCATCTACTTTGAACATTCAAGGTTATTGTAACCGGGTAGTTTTGAAGATAATGAGTAGAAACCATTCTGACATTTAACGTCCTTGTGACCTTTGACCTAAAGACCTCAAAATCGACAGGGGTCATCTACTAATTATAACCAATCAATAAGTGGAATAT